TATGATGTTTATGATGTTATGTACAAGTAAATATACACAAACAAAGCAAACAAGTCCTTAGGTTTAGGCTTGCATGGAGTCTTATAGGTAAGTACCCTCTTGAAGTTTAGTTGGCTCAAACCTGTCCTAGAAATAGTAACCGGGTTCTAAGGAGCTCAATATCACCGGTTTGTTTCCTTGGTCATTGTTTTAGCACAAGCCTCTTTAATGGCGACCGAAATATCCCAAAAAACCAAACCTCAATGAGTGTAGTATCGAGTATCTACCAACTTCGGACTGCACCAAAGTCGGTCATCTCACTACGTCCTAAAGGCCAAGTTGGTCAAGTAAAGGTTCTAAAAGTTCATTAGTGCTTCATGACATCACTCAGTGGCTCCATATTCTCCTTGATTAACTCAAGGTCTACCAGTACCCACAAATATGTCGCACTAATGTAGCTATTGCTTAGACCATGTTGGTATACCCTGCACAGTTTCCACAACATATTGCTAATTACCCATAAGGTATCCCAAATTCGGGTAGAGGATTCAAACCCAAACAAAGAACCATAATGTAAAGCATACAAGTCAAACAATGAAAGCAAATAAATGTGATCTAGCCCTAAGGTAACCCCACTTTTAGAAAATTCCCCAGCAGAGTCGCCAGTTCTGTGATACGGTGGGAAAACTGACTTGAAGGTTTTGCGTTTGATCGCAAATGTTGCGGTTAGCAAGAGTCGCCACCGACTTTTCTTTTATCCAAAAGGAAAGGTGAAAAAGCATAGGAAAGACCTTTGAGATTATTTCTTGAGTTCGGGGGGTAGATTATGAAAAGGGAATGTATTAGCACCCTTTTCATCCATGGTTTTCCATGGGCTCTTAGTTACTTGCTAGATCACTTGCTTTTGTTTGAAAATGTGCTTTGTGTGGTTTTTGAGAGTATTTTGTAAAAATGTCTTTGTCTAGGAAAACTTTGTAATGATTCTCGTTCGTAAGAATGTATACAAAGTGTTTGATCTTTTGAAAATATTTTCAAGTTATGAAAGATGTTTTGGAAGTGTTGGTGTTTGTTTTAAAAATAGCAAGGATGTTTTTGTTTTGAAATTGAGCCAGTAACTAGGAACATTCCACCTACTCAAAAGTCTTTCATGTTCATTTCCTTTTTCCTTTGATATTGTTATCTTACCATTGATTTGGTAAGCAACCCTATCTTTGGATGTAAAAGGGACGGGCAAGGGTTATCATATAACCATGATTAGAAATGTTGCAAGGTATCTTAGCATTTTTTAGGGACTAAGATCATTTTGAAAAGGCAACATAGATAGCGTCATCGTGGGACTATGATATTGTATTTCACTTGGTTTTGCTAAGATACCTCACATGCATAATATGGCCATTTTTGTAAGGCAACCAAGTGGATTTACCCTAGGGATGTTTGTGTGCAAGTGTATTGATTTACATGCATTGATTTGTCTTTGATTAGGGTTTTCTATTGATTGGTTTTAGTCTTTCCATACAAAACCCTAATTACTAGCATTTGTATATAAAGCGATAAATTGCGGAAATTAAAATTACTACGCTATTACAATACTTAGGGGAGGGGGTGTACAAATTACAAATGGGGAATATTGCAAGAATTTAAACCTAAATAAATATTACAACCATATTGAAATTTAATAAATGTACAAAAAATAAAGATGAAAATGCAAGAATGAAAATGTAAAGAAATATGATTTTTGTGTATTTTTAGGGAAAAGGATTTTGTTTTAACCTAATTAACTAAGAAAATAATTAATTAAAATAACAAAGAATAAACCTAAATTTACTAGTAAAAGAAATTGAATAAAACCCGAATCTATTAATTGAATAAAAGAAATTAAGTTTATAAGAAAAATGTTCTTTTTTGTATTTTTTTGTCTTAAAAATAATTTATAGTATTATAAAATATTTTTGGTCTTTTTATATTTTTAAATAATATATTTAAATAGTGTAAAAGAAAATAATTAAAACCCTAGTTTTTATTAAATTTACAAAACAATTAGTCAAAATAAAATAAAGTATGATTAAATAAAATAATTTTTGTAAGGAAAAATAAATAAACTATGTTAAAATATAAATCTACTATTTTTATATTTTTATGATTTTTTAGTATTAGAAAAATAATTAAGAAAATAAATAAAATGAAAATAAGAAAAGAAAATAAAATTGGCCCAGGGGTGTGAATAGGGTGCAAGGGGGGTTAACAATAAGAAGAAAAAAAAGGCCCAGGAGAGGCCCAGGCGCTGCCAAAAAGAAAGTCACAATGCAAAAAAATGTGAAAAATCCAAAAGGGTACCACTGGGGCTCGAACCCAGGTCCCTCAAGTCACAGACGCGCGTTTCTACCACTGGGGTGGCTATACATCCGTTTATATAAATCAAAGCATACATATATATATGGAAAACACGTTCCTGAGGCCAACTTCATCTTCAACCTCACGCCCAGCCAGAGCCTGTGTAACTTGTTCAAATCTCAACAAAAATGAAAGCTGTAAACATGAAACTTGTAGCAAATTTCCTCACGATTACAGAAATACAAAGCAATAAGATTATAGATCAAAGATAAGCATGAATTTTAATGGCCCTAATCTGAACCCTAAAAATCTCAGAAACTTCAATCTTAAAATTCTCTAAGCTCAAGCAAAATTAATGGAAACTATGGACATGGTTAGCTTTAGGGCAAGGATATCTACATGTTTCATTCACAAATAAATCATTGATGATGCCTGTATGAAAAGTTCCAAAGTTAGAAAACTTACCTCGCAAGAGGGTATCGGGTTTGGAGTTTGAGAAGCTTTCAGTGAGTTCCAATGATTGGGTTAGCTTCCTCAAGTTCCCGGGAAGCTAATGGGATGCTTAACTTGAGTTGAAAGTGCCTGAGGAGTTCTGGAGAAGTCCAAGTGCAAAGCTCTATTTTTGAAAATGGAGGATGGTGTTAATGGTGTTACAGTCTTGTAACAGGGTGTGGAATGAGTTCTAAATGACGTTTAGAAACTTTAGGAATCAAAAGGCTTGAAAACGCACGAGGGAGATGTGAGTTTTAAACTTTTGGTCAGGTTGGGCAACAATGGAGGTATGTGATGAATTTCTGAGCTCTTGGTGTTTTTAGGGGTCAAGTATGCGTGTGTTTTGTGGCAAATGGTTTGTGTATGTATAAGCAAAAGGGTTGGAGTGGTTTTGAAAGTTAGAAGTACAAGTTACAAGTTATTTGCTAGGTTACTTGATTTTGAAGAAATGTGGGAAAACAAGTTTCAAGAGGAGGTACAAGCATGGGACGAGTGATTGTAAGTGTCTAACAAGTTTCTATTGTGTTATAAGACATGTATGATCAGGAAAGAGCAAGTGGAAAGCTGAAGAACAAGTTTTTTGCAAAAAGTCACTTTATCAAAATGGCAATGTGCACTTTCTTCCCAAAGTGGATAAAAAGCATGACCTTGCATTAAATGCTTGAGATGAGACCTCTAACAGTTGTGAAGAAATTAATTATAGAGTGCCTAACAAGTTTTAGGCCTGCAAAGTAGAGGTTATGCAGCATAACTTTGAATTTGAATTTTGTTCATCACAAAATGCCTTGTAATTCAAGTGATAAAACCCTAACTTCATCTCTTCGATTCTCCCTACTCAAAAATGATCTCAAGGAGTTCTTGGACATTTTGGAAATCTTGAAATGTGATCTACAACCTATATTTGAATTACTTTTGAATATTAGCCTTGTAACTATATGAAAAAGTGCCATGAAGTTGGGTCAAAATCCTGACCAAATTAGGGCAAAATTTCACTAAGTGTTTTGTTTCATGACCATGTATTCTTAAAATTATAACTTGAGATCCAAGCACTTTTGGAAGGAGTTGTGTAAATTAAAGCTTTATATTTCATGGATATCTACAACTTTCATGTTGGAAGTTTCCTTTGAATCAGCTTGCATCATGGTGAAAATTTTGCTCAAAGTTATGAAAAAATAAGAAATTTCCAACACTTAGAAACATTTCTAAGTTTAGAAATTTTAACTTTTCAAAATGAAATCTTGAATTTTGTATTTCTTGATGAAAAGTTTCATATTTTGACATGTTTTGATGAATTGTGATCTTTGACATTGAATTTTGACCAAAAAGTCAAAGTTTGACCAAAAAGTCAAAGTTTGACTTTTTAGTACACAATTGACTTTTGATCAGTTGACTGAAAATTCATCTGTCAATCCATTGGACTTGAGAAATGTTTTGAGCCATGTTATTACGTCAAAATGATTCAATTGGACTCTTGAGATCATGCCTTAAACCAACTGATCATTTGCTAGGTCAAAAATCAGAAATTGCCCTTTCCTAGTCAAAACCCTAATTTTGACCATTTTTCCCTTTTGAAGATTTGATCAAATTTTTTGAGGAATTGTGATCCAAACTTGATCAAATGATATATATGAGTTTAAAATGTTGATGTGGATAAAAAATTATGAAGTTTGACTGTAAATTGGCCATAGTTGACTTTTTTTTTCAATACAGCTAATTTTTAGGTCAACTGCTCAATTGACTGAGCAAAAGTGTGATCCAAGGCTTGAACTTGACATGAGAAATCTTGAGGGTCCATAATGATCCATGAAAGTAATATGGGGCATTGGAAGTTCAAATATCCTTGTGCAATCTCAAACCCTAATTTTGGTCATCAGTGCTTAAGGAGGTGTCTTCAGTTGATCAACCCTAGTGCAATCTTGAGGCAAAGGAGATCTTGTGAGCAAATATGGATAAGTGAGAGGGAAAATTTTGGGGTACAACACCATGTTTTATGAATTTGAAAAGATTTAAATGGTATTTGTATTTTTTTTACTAAGCAATCATTTCTAAAATAACTTCTCACTAGAATTAGTCAAATATAACTTTTCTTTTCAATTGATTTGATGTGGATTTGTTACAAAAAAATTGGAAAATCGTGGTTTTCATTTTATTTATAATTTCCATTTGAAGCTCTATTTTCCCCTCAAACTAATGTCAACCAAATTCAAGTAATATCTCAAAATAAACCTCAACGTGATACAATTTTCATTCCTAAACCGCTTAAGTCTTTTGTTGAAGTCGTCGTAAATGTTTGCAACATCCCCCTTAGTCAGGTACCAACACCATGTGTAAAAGGAGATAGGCTTTCTATTACAATCCTAGAATATGAATACCAGATAGGGTTGGAAGCCTACAAGCACAATCTTCATGGTAGAATCATTTGGCTTAAGGGTTCAAGTCCTCTAACAGTTGTTGCTTTGGAAGCAAAACTATCTCAGCTATGGAGTTCTATTATCAAATGGGGACTCACCTCACTTGAGAAAGGTTTTTTTTTTTTTAGTTTTCCTTTTCTACTCTAGAAGATGTTCGTAGAGTGAGATCTATTAATTTGTGGAACCTTAACCCCGGTGTGTTAAAGCTCTTTCCCTGGACCAGGGATTTCATATCGTCTGCAACCAACCAGTCTTTAGCTTAGGTTTGGACCCGTATTCATGGTCTTTCCCAGGAATATTGGCGACCTAAAATCATTTTTACTATTGCAAGCAGTATAGGTACTCCTATCTGTATTGATTCCTCTTCTAATAAAACATCATTCGATAGAGCCTTCGGTCACTTTGTTAGGGTCTTAGTATATATTGATCTTGAAAGAGATTTGTCTTATAAGATTTTGGTTGAAAGAGTGGGTTTTGCTTTCTTTGTCGAAATTGAGTATGAGAAGCTACCGTCATAATGTAACTTATATATATTCATTGGGCACGACGGAGATAATTTCAAAATAATGTTGGCAGCTGAGTAGAAGCATGAGAGCAGAAACCGTAATGAGGACAATGGTAAGACACATATGCAGCCTAAAGACACAAAAAAATACCCAAAGTGATGAGAAACCCATTGGAAATTCTATTCCTGACAAACCTATTACTAATACTAACCTCCCCGATGAACCCCCAGATAACAACCTTTTCCCAGTGCCACAGATTGACAATCTGTTGAATCTTAGAACATTAGACAATGAAAATTCTATCTCAGAGGAATCGAGTTCAGAGGAATCTGAATTTGTTGATGCTACACAAATGAATGACCCTGTTGATCCAGTTAATTTGAACCAAACATCTCAGAGATCCAATGCTCAATTTCTCAAGAAGTCATGGGCTAATTTATCTGAAGCATTGGAGGATGACGAATCAGATAATGATGATGAGGAGTTTGACCCTGAGTTACTCAAATTCCAGCTTGTTATGTCTAAATATCAGAAAAATAAGATTCGACATAAAGCCAAATCAAAGGCTAGCTACCACACCAGATCACAATCTGGTACCTCAAAGCCTTTCTGATGAAGTGCATTTTTTGGAATGCACGGGGCCTCGCCAATTCCCCAACAATATTGGTTCTCAAAAAATTTCTTTTATCTCATAAACCTGATTTATGTTTTCTTGCAGAATCCTGGATGGACCTTCAGAAATTTCCTACCAATTTTATCAACTCTCTTAACATGCAATATTTTTCAACTAACCTCAGATCCCATAACCTTCCTAACCCGTGGTTCATTTGTTCTAAGAGCTTTTCTCCCTAAATAATCAAAATTACTGCTCAGTTTGTTGCTTTCAAAATTTTCTACAATTCTGTTAAAGTTTACCTAGTTGCGGTTTATGCATCTACTAATATGGCGATTTGCAAGTCTCTCTGGAACGATCTTACTCTTATGTATCATAATTTTAACGCTCCTTTGTGTTATATGGGAAATTTCAATGTAATTGTTGGAGCTCACAAACACGGTGGTAGGAACTCTCCCTCTAGATCCTCCATCTCAGATTTCCGTAACTAGATTGATATGAATTATTTGTCTGATATGCCTGCCAAAGGTCCTTTTCTCACCTGGTCTAATGGCAGATCAGGTGCTCATTTGGTTAAATGATGTCTCGACAGAGTTCTTTGTAATCAATCTTGGATTACTGCCTACAAGTATTCTCATACCTTTACTCTTCCTAAGCTTTGTTCCGATCACTTCTCTCTCTGATTAGATGCAAGTTTTTCTGATATCAAGTTTATGAGTAATTTCAGATTTTTAAGAATGTGGACTCTCCACGATAGCTGTAGTACGCTCGTAGCTGATTTCTGGTACCAGACTGTGTTCGGGTACCAAATGTACATTTAGTCTCAAAAGCTCAAGTTTCTTAAAGACAGACTTAAGCCTTGGAACAAACAGATCTTTGGTAACATTCATTTTTTGGTTCAAAACCCCACCACTCACGTGAGTAACATCCAGAACCAGATTCACCTCATGGGCATGAATGATGAATTGAAAGCCCAAGAACACAAAGCCCAACATGACTTGGAAGATGCTTTGGCTAAAGAAGAGATTTTCTGGATGGAGAAAGCTAGACTTAGATGGAATAAGCATGGCGATAGAAACACTTCCTACTTCCACAGAGTCACCAAAATCAAGTGTAGAAAAAAAATCACTAGATTGAGAAATGGTAATCAAATTATCCTGGACCTCGAGGACATGGTTACTCATGCAGTAAATTATTTTACTAACATTTTCGATTTTGTAGGTACAATGCAAGCTTCAGATCTGTTAGACATCATTCCAAATATGGTTCCTGAACCCATGAATTCTATTCTTACTTATGTCCTTTCCATTGAGGAGATTACTAATGTGGTGTTTGGCCTTAGAAAGGAGAGTGCCCCAGGTCCGGATGGGTTTGGGGGAGTGTTTTTTCAAACTTATTGGAACATCATTAAAACTGACGTGTTTAATGTCCTTTGGTAAATTTTCAGGGATTATTGGATGCCAAACAACTACAATGCCAATATTATTATTCTGATTCCTAAGTCTAAGAATGTCGATTTTATGGATAATTTTAGTCACATCTCCATCGCCAACTTCAAGTTCAAGATTATTTCAAAAACCTTTGTTGATAGACTTTCTCGGATTATGATATTTTTGGTGTCTAAAGAGCATAAGGGTTTTATTAAAAGGAGGAATATTAAGGATTATTTATGTCTTGCTTATGAAGTAGCTAATCTCCTGGATAGAAAGACCTTGGGAGGCAACACCGCTCTTAAAGTTGACATCACTAAAGCTTTTGATACAATTAATTGGAGTTTCCTCATCAAGGTCCTTGAGCTTTATGGTTTCAACAATACTTTTTGTCATTGGATCTCTACTATTCTAGAATCTTCCTTTGTGTCTATAGCTTTTAGCAGTTCCACTCATGGATATTTTCCTTGTAAGAGAGGTGTTAGACAAAGAGACCCTATCTCCCCTCTTCTTTTTGTCTTGCTGAAGATGTTCTGAGCAGACATATCTCTTCCTTGGTTAAATCTGGTAGTCACATTCCTATGAAAGCCAACAAAGATCATAATATTCCAACTCACATCCTTTATGCTAAAGACATCTTCATTTTCTGTAAAGGTAAATCATCAAACATCTTCGCTCTAAGGAATTTGTTTCAGAATTATTCTCTTGCCTCTGGTCAATCCACCAATGCTTCCAAGTTTACAATTTATTGTGATTCAATATCAAATAGGAGAACAAATCATCTCACTTTGCTCACGGGTTTCAACAGAGGTTGTTTTCCTTTTACCTATCTCGGTGTTCCTATTTCTAAAGGTAGGGTTAAGCGTACCCATTTTCAAGCCTTGGCAGATAAAATGATTTCTAAGTTGGAGGCTTAGAAAGGCTTCACTCTCTCTTACGCCAGTAGATTTACTCTTGTGGGTTCGGTGATTCATAGTATGATATACCACTCTATCTCTGTATACTCTTAGCTTGTTTCTCTTCTTAGAGAGATTGAGAAAGCTTCCCAGAACTTCATTTGGGGTGGAAATATTAATTACAGGAAGCTTATCATTGTAGCTTGGAATAAAGTTTACCGTCCTAAACCTAACAATGGCCTCGGTTTAAGGTCCCTTATTGTTCTTAATAATGCTTCCAACCTGAAGTTATGATGGGATTGTTTAAACAACGAGGAAGGTTAGGCCATCCTACTTCGTGCAGAGTATTAAGGAGGTTTGGTATAATTTGGCATCACATTTTCTTGTTCATATGGAGCGGCATCAGTCTGGAGTTTCCTTGCTTAATTTCTAATACCTCTTGGATGCTTGGAAATGGAAACAAGATTAAGTTATGGAAGGATGCTTGGTGTGGCATCCCTTTTTTTTTGGATAAAATCGATCCGCTGTTACTTGCTTATGGAATTTATGTGGATTTATTTTTTTGTGATTTGTTGGTTAATGGGAGTGGGAATATCCCTATTTTCTGGTTCACGTTATTCCCTTTTATTCTTAATGATATTTCGTAGGATCCTTCTTTTCTTAATATTCCAGACTCTATGGTTTGGAATTATGCTGTAGACGGTATGCTCTCCATGAAAGAGGCATACAGATTCAAATATTCCCCCTCGCTTAAATTGGGATGGGTTGGCAAGATTTGGAATTCCGACATCTCTCCTTCTAAATCTTTGTTGGCTTGGAGACTCTTGAATGATAAGATCCCTTCGGATGATGCGTTGCAAATATGCGGTTGTAGCTTATGCTCTATGTGCAATATTTGCAAGAATAATTGTGAATCAACATCTCATATCTTATCCCATTGTCCCTATGCGGTCGAAATATGGAGATGGTTTCGCAGCCTTTTGAATCCAACTCTCATGATCTCCTCAGTGGATAACATTTGGGTTTTATGTCACATCTACGACTCTCCTCAAGGTTCTCTCATCATCTCTGCTGCCATAGTGTACTTTTTTATCTCTTATGGAAAATCCGTAATGGGGCCAGATTCCTTAGAAAAATTTCTCCTTTCCAATCTAGCATTTCTTGCATTATGGCTCAGGTTCGTTTGATTGGTAACAATACCGCCCCGCGTGCTTCTTCTTCCATGTCGGAGATCTGTCTGCTTAAGTCTTTTAAGGTCAATATCAATTATCCTCGGACTCTCAAAATTATTGAAGTTCTTTGGCATCCCCCTGCTTTGAATTGGATTAAGTGTAATTGTGACGACTCTTTTGAGAATACCTCTAGTGGTTGCGGTGATATCTTCTGAAACTCTCTTGGGATTATTTTGTTAGCTTTTGCTGAACCGACTTCGGTTTCTAATTCCTTACATGCGGAATTCTCTGTTGTTTTTAGAGCGATTGAGCTTGCTAGAGATAGAGCATGATTGAAGCTTTTAATTGAGAGTGACTCTTCCATTGTGGTCCTAACTTTTTCAAAAGATATTTTGGTTCCTTGACAGCTTAGAAATAGATGGTTACGTCGTAAAGAAATTATCAGAAACATAATTTTTGTTATTACGCATATTTTCTGGAAAGGTAATTCATGTGCAAATTCTAGTTTAGACCGCAATTCTTTATCCCTTATTATTTTTAATGTCATCTCCTTAACTATTAAATGTGATTTTGTAAAATAGATTAGGAATGAGTTTTTCAAGTTTGTTAGCTCTCTCAAGAGTCTTGATCTTATTTCTCTTATCCTTTTTATGTACCACCTTTTCTCTTATATTATATAGCCTTATTAAAAAAAAATTATAAAAGAAATATAACTAAACATTATCATGACTTAAAGTTACAAATAGACACAAGCCATTGAAATAAATTTCTCTAATATCTTTTTCATGTGAAGTCTTACAATTAAGTGATAAAATATTAGTTTTTTTATAAATATTTAATTTCAAAGATAAAGAATTAATAATTATTTATTATTATTTATTCTTCTTTCTCATAATATATTAAAAAAATAGATTAATAAATTGACTTAGTCAAACCCTTAAAAAACAACCGTAGCAATTCTTTTATAAAATATATAATTATGTATTCTTCTTTCACATTATATATTATAAAATAGATAAATAAATTGAATTAGTCAAATCCTAAAAAAAAAAACGTAGCAAATTTTAATAAAATATATAATTTAGCCAAAAAATAAAATTAATTTTTTTTGGAAAAAAAGAATTAGTCGAACCTCAAAAACCAAAGTTAACTTTTTTTAAATAAAAATATTATCAATTTCGTAATACAATTTTATCAAATTACTTATAAAATAAAAAAAGCAAGAAAATATCCTAAATAATACCACGTGCGGTTTTCTTAACTTCTAATTAAAAAACGAGCACTTTCCAAATTAATTCATTTAGTTATCCACATCATACAACATTAAAATTTAAATTTCAGTTTTTTTTTTTAATTTGAGTATTAATTTCACAAACAATATTGGCCAAAAAATTTCTCATATATTTTTTCTACTAATATATTTTATACTATCAAACTTTCAAAAATAAACTTAACTATTTTTTAGTAAAATATTATTAAAAAGAAAATATTTAAAGATGGATTAGGATTTTAAAACAATATATTTGATTAATTAAACATAATAAAACATGAAATACGGAATTACATTTTTTTTATTAAAGACATAATTAAAATTATTTAAATTAATAAAAATATCGATAAATAAAATAAAAAATAAAACAATGGTAAAGGACATAATTATCTTAAACATATTTAAGTCTTTTTTTTATATTAAGTTGTCGTTAATATTATTTACTTTCCGTGTATCGCACATATATATATATATATATATATATATATATATATATATATATATATATATATATATATATATATATATATATATATATATATATATATATATATATATATATATATATATATATATATATATATATATATATATATATATATATATATATATATATATATATATATTACACTGGGTCTGCGTTTAGTCTGCCGCTGGGCAAGGCTCAGTCCAACTCTATTACGAGAAAAGTCCACTACAACGGTCTAAATTATTATGACCGTTAGAAACGTCTCCCACACGTGTTCATTGAGAACGTCTCTCATACGGTCCGTCGAGGATCTCCTCCTGCACATGCCCGTTGAGGATATCTCCTCTTTTACAATGTCTGGCAAAGACGTCTCCTCCACGTGCCTGACAAGGATATGTGGTCAACCTTCCTCTGAATATCAGAGTCATCCTGCCCCCAAAAAGAACGTGTCTTCCAACCTCTGGAAAATCACACAGGGCAGTTGAACTAGGATAGAGACCACGAACTGGTCTCCTTTACCCATGTAAGATTTTGGTAGTGTCTACTTTGGGCCTGTCATCCAACCCAATATGGGGACCTTGGCCCAGCGTTGGGGCTATAAATACTCTCTTTTACTAGAGGGTCAGGTAGATCATTCTATTCACTCTAACTCCATACTTGCGCTTTCACTCTGAACCTAAAAACCATCTTTCACTAGAGGATCAGGTAGATCATTTTATTCACTCTAACTCCATACTCGCTGTGATCGGTGGATCTGGAACTGACTGTTTAACGCTGGTTCGCGAAATGTCGCGGAAGCAAGAGTCGCCACCGTCTTTTATTTTCTCCAACATGGACAGGACAAAAGCACAGCAAAATTCCTTATAAGATTGTCTCTCGGTTCGGGAGGTAGATTTATAGAAAGGGAAGGTGTTAGCACCCTTTCTATCCATGGTTATCCATGGGCTCTTAGATACTTGCTCATTTGTGTTTTCAAAATGTTTGCTTTTCAAAGTGAGTGGGCTTGAAAAAGTTTCGTTTAAAGATTTCAGATCGACTCTTGTATCAGTCCTCAAGAGTGTTTGAAAAATTATTTTGAAAGCTTTTTGAAAAGTGTCGGTGTGAAAAGAGTTTTTGATTGTTTTTGAATAGAGCAAGTATCTATGAGTCATCTACCTACCCTAAGGAATTAGGCTGTGTAGAAGTCCCTAAGGTAGTGTCATCCCACCATTGAGAGGTAGGTAGCACCACCGTTGGAGGTGTTCGGGTCAATTCGAGTTTGTAGGGACAGTGTGGTCACCAGAGCAACAGTAGGACACCTTAGAAGCTACCCTTATGCCATGGGTCATGGACATAAGGACTTACTAAAACGTCCTATACTCGACGACCACGTTTCGAGGGCAAGGCAACAGTGAGACATACCCTAAGAGTGGTGTGTGAATTTGTGTGTTGTTTTCATGTTGATATTTGTCTTTGATCATTGTATCGTGAGCTACGTTTTGCTTTTATTTGGGCCATTCATTCTTTCATGCAAAGTTTAACAGTTTTAAGAGTGCGGAAAATTAAATGACGGAAAGGTAAATCCTACGCTACTACAAGGCGCGGGTCTATACATCGCCAAATTAACAAAGACCCGTTTTTTAATAAAATGCGGAAAATAAATAAATTCCTAATTACTATTACAAGGCTTGAGCAATTACATAATATTCACAATAAAATAAAATAAATGCGCGAAAGAATAGAACGTTCGAGGGCGTTGGACCCTTTTGAGAAATTAAATGAAATTAAAAAGCTAATTAATTATTTAATTAAGAAAAGAAATGTTTTTATGTTTTTTTTGTATTTAATGAAAATAAAGAAAAATTAAAATTAAAATTAAAAGAAACCCTAATTCTAAGTTGTTTTAATTATTAATGAAAAAAATGTTAAAGTTTAACCTAATTTATGCTAATTAATTATTTACATATTTATTTACAAAATAATTAATAGTTAATGATAATAATGAGAAAAATTATTTATTTAAAGAAAAAAGAAATATAAAAAGTTAGAAACCCTAATTTCTAAATATTTTAATTTGTTAAGAAAAAGATTTAAGTTTTAAAACCTAGTTTACACTAATTAATTATTTACATGTTTATTTACAAAATAAATTAATAGAAATTAATATTAATAAAAATAAAATTTTTTTGTAGTTTCTGATTTATTATTGTAAAAAATTATTTTTGAGTGAATTAACTAAGATGATTAAAACAAACTAAAAAGAATTGAAAAGAAAAGAAAATTAGAAAGAAGAATAGAATACAAACAAGGGGGTATCTGGCCCAATTTGGAGGTTTTTGGAGCAATTTGGCCCACTGCAATCCAAGCTCTTTTTGACTTTCCAGGATCACATGCTTGTGGTTGACTGAGCGTGTATGGTAGTCTCCACATTTTGGCCTTTGGATTGATCATGAAGCCATTTGTCAAGCCAGAGTATGAGGGTGTATGGTGAAGCCTTGAAGGAACGCTGCACATGAACGCATTAAGACAAAAATTATTAAGCTTTTGGGGGGACCTGGGTATCGAACCCAGGTCCCAGTACCTGCAGGACACATCAGCCACCAACTGCACCAGCGCGTTTCTTTGTAATACTAGTGGGACATGAATAATATAAGAGAAAAATAATATTATGCTGAAACCATCAAAAAACGCGCTAACATTTGAATTGTCCAATCATGCTCAGACACGCTAGCATCTTCTTTGTCTTTGTCCCTGTAACATAATCAAATAGCGGGGGTTTTAAACCCCCACTAAACAAGACCAGGAAAAATAACGATTAACACATAAGCAAATATAAAAAGGGCGCGAGGTGTGGATTTGCTTCGTTTGGATGTCACGAATCCATTGGTATAGGTTTTAAGGCCTAATTTTTCCATATGTATAAACCCCTAAATCCAAGCTTCTGAAACCCTAGAGAACGTTAATGGCAACTTTTGATACAGGCATTCTTAGTTCAATTCAATGGTACAATTAGCTTCAGAACATCCATATTAGTGTAAATCAACATTTAAAACATATGAAAAATGCATGTAAATTGAAACACGATAATGAACAAGTTCAAGAAAAGTGTGATGTCGTTCTACCACTTCTTTGGGTATGGAGGCCTGGATTTGATTGTAATCGTTTCCTGGATGCTTTGGCAATGTTTTGGAATGCTTTTGGAGCTTTGAAACGAGCTCTAGGTATGAAAACAGTTTCCAACTTTTTTGTGAAAAAATCCAATTTTGTTCTTGGCTTTCTGCGCAGCTTTTGTTGTCTATTAGTATTAGGTTAACTTGTGCATAAGTAAGTGAATAGAATTAGGTCAAGAAAACCAACCCAAAGTCCATCCATTTATGATTTTGATATTTGATTTCCAATCATATAAAATCCAATCTTTTTCAATCTTTTTGCCATGAAACTCTTTCCAATTGTGGAAGATTTTGTCTCTTGAGAAGGTACACGAAATATTTAGCTCATAATGGAAGGATTTGCTGCACAAAAAGGATTTAAAACCATTGTTTAGTATTTTTCTCATAATTAAATTTAATTAAATGAATTAATAAGATTAAAAATTCAATTAATTAATTAAAAATAAGAAAATAACTCCCTTTTATCTTAATGGGTCGTGCATAGCCTTTGGGTAATGATTCATGGAAGAAATTGAGGCCCATTAGCAATTTTGAGGCATTTGAAGCAAAGTTGACTTTTCAAAATTCCCAAAAATTTCCCACCTTCTACAAGGCATATCTTTCTCAATTTTGAAGATATGATCATGTTCTTTGAC